AGATAACTTTTTGAAGATTCTAATGCAAATATTACATTTAAAATTACTCCAATTGGATAAATAGTAATATCAGAATAAGAGTAAACGTAAGCAGAATAAATCATGTTAGTTTAATAGCAATTTAGTTTAATATTTCTTATTTTAATTCCAATTTCAATTGTTACCAATTTATTTGATTATTTATGGGCAGTATTAGAAATTTTGAGTTGGGTGAATAACTTTTATTTTTTAAATGTAAACTATCCATTTAATGTAGAAGTATTATTATTAAATAGTGATTGGTCTTCAATTATCAACTTTCCAACTTATTAAGAATTAAATTAACCTGGTTGTGATTATTACTTTCAAGCTCCAAAAAGATTTTAAGATAAGGGAATAGATCCACTTTTTATTAATAATGCCTAAATTCCTTTTATGTTTATTTTATCAGCACTAAGCCTTTATTTAATCAATTATATATTTTTAGTGTTTTTTAGTTATCTAAATTTGTTCTTCAATAAAGAAATAAAATTAAATAGAAAGCGTTTTAGCATTTTTAATTTATAAGTCATAAAAAAAACAGTCAACACTTAAGTTAAACCAATTGATTAAGTTTAAGTTGAAAACAAATAATATATTTAACGCATAATAACTTTTTTAAGTTTTACTTCAAATGGATTTAAAAATAAAATAAAATAAACCTTAACTTTATGTTTGCTAGATATTACATTAGCTTGCATGCTATAATTTACTTTTTCGAAGCCTGACTCAAATATTATTGTAGGAGTTAATTAATTAATGGCATTCTTTGCTACTGGCTTAATTTTATTTTAGTTATTTTAATCATATTTTGTATTAAATATTCATAAGTGCTTAGCAGAAAATAAATAGTTTTAAGAAAAATATGAGATTTATTATGAAAATATCAATACAGATGATTCCTTTGGATATTATTATAATTTTTTTGGGATTACCAGAAAGATTACTTATGTTTGTTTTTTAGTACTTTATTATTACATCCCAATCCTTTAAACTTTATTCTGTTTTAGTTCAACTTCATTGGGATTTTTTCTTCTTTGCTATAAAAATCCATATAGTAATAAATATAAATACATTCTTTAACTAATTTTAGACTTCAATTTAACTTTGATTCATTTAATAATTGTTATAATTTCAATTAGCGATCTAATAAATATCTAATTTATTAAAGAGAATATAATAAACTTAGGATGGGTAATTATTTCATTAATTCTATTTTCAATTCTAATAGAAATTTGCTCGTTAATTTAAGGCATACTACAATATTTTTATAATTGCTTCGTTTTTATAAAAATTTAGGAAAGAAATAAGACTAGGCCAAAGAAAATAAGATTATAGAAGAGTAAAAGTAAAATGTAGAACGAAAATAGTAGCAAGTAATTAATAAAGGAAGCAATATAAATCGAAATTTATCACGCAATCAAATATTTGAATAAAGAAGATTTTTCTTTCCAATTTGAAATATATATTATTATTGACTATTTTTTTAGAATTTTTGCTATTGTTTAATTTTATGATTCTATTCATATTTGGTTTTTGTATTATCTTTACTTAAATTTATTTTAATTTAGTACTGTAAAACAAGAACAACAAAAATCAAAATTTTTTTGATGCAAAATGAAATTGTTCTAGCGTCTCCTAGTACTATTAAACTATTCTTTGACAATAAGCATCAAAACCTTAAAGCATAAGACTCCTAATTTAAAACTATTGATTTACAATTAAAAATATTTATTAATAATACTTATTTTATATTATTATTTCATGATTTAAATTGATGATAAGCCGGAATAAACTATCAAACATAAATTAATTGACAATTTAATAAAATAGACAGATTGTTATTCAATTTCTTTTAATTAAACGTCATCAATTATGGTTTCAACATGTTAAACAGATGTAAAAATTTGGAAATTTGCAGAGGGTAAAATTAAAGAGGAACAAACTCTTAAAGGACATAATAGCTTTATTTATTGTTTAATTTACAGTAAGAACTGTGATGCTTTTCTATCTGGTTCTTAAGATTGCACAATTCGCTTATGGAGATTAGTTTAATAAAATGAATGGAAGAGTTCATAACCTTATCTGTAACATAGCAATACTATAACCTGCTTAGCCTTGAATTAAAGCGAAGATGAGATAGTCTCTGGAAGTAGTGATAATACAATAGCAGTCTGGAAAATCAATTTCATTTAGAATGAATTATTTTTTATGTATAAATTGGAAAAACATTAAGGAACAGTTAGAGCCTTAGATTACAATTTTTCATCAAACCTTTTAGTATCTTGTGGAAGGGATAAATCAATCATTATTTGGTAAAAAGATCAAGAAGAAAAAGTGCAATTTCATTAAATAGTTATCAAT